TTTTTAAGTTAGTTTTTGTCAATGTTAGCATGAATCGATCAATATAACCTTAGGAATTTTAATAACCTTTAATCATTAACCACATATTCTCTAAGTCTCATCCTCTATCAACCTTGCATAACTCAGATTTTCTGTTACTTGGCTTTATACATCTTGGGGGAGCCATTTTTGCTTTTACTTTTTGGGACAAAAATCTTATTATATAAAATTTACCTTTACTTAAAGTATTTTACCCCTTTCGTCAAAAATGTAATCTTATATGCATACCCTTCAATATCTCCCTTGCTTACTTCCTGTGTTTTGATTTTATTTTTTTGTAAAGAAAAGTTGAGTCGAAATTACATAGTGGCACAAGGTAGCCAATTAAGATTACCTGTGCACGTATTGTTGAATTTATGAGGAGCTCTATCTGATTTAGAGAATTAACTTCAAAAGGAAAGCGGCTGTATGATTATGAAGGGGGTAACCACAGACTGCTCCCCCTAACTCTATAATAAAACAGTAATAACAACAACAACAACAAAAACCCCAGCTCCAAAATAAAGACATCACAACTTGAAAACAGTTTAAAGGTCCTGGGGAGATGGCTCAGTGGTTAAGTCCTTGCCAAAAAAAAGCTGAGGACTGGAAACCACGTAAATACCACGTGGGCATGATGGTCTGCCTGTAGTTCCATTCACAGAAGGCAGAGATGGGATGCCCAGAGCAAGCTGGCTAGCAACACTAGCCATACCAACAAACCCTGGCTTAACTGATGTAGAGAGACAAGAAGGTGCTTCCCAGCATCAGCCAAAGGCCTCCACTGTTGGGATTTGAATTATGTGAGGATAAAATGAATTTGTGACAAGGGCATGGGATCGTCTGATGTTTCTATTTCTCAAGAAAGGCATTTGGAATGTCCTCGACATGTAGGAAGGAACACAGGAATGCCTGCGGCCTTCTTCAGTTTCTGGAGAGTAGCTAGGGTAAATGATATTCTCGTAGCTCACGCGTTTCTTTGAAGACAAATAACTTTGTTGTGCTTTGTATAGCCTTGACCATGCTGGGCTGTGAAGCAGGCTTCTCTGCTGAACTGGAAATTAAGGAGCTGTAATAATAAAAACGAACCTTGTCATGCTAATTACACTCAGGTGCTTGGCTGTCCTGGTCCCCTGTTGTCCGACTCCAGTTCCTCTGGCATTGATCAGGAGAGGCAACTTGACCAACCTCTCCCACTCCGTATTCACGCCCATCCAAGTGTCAGCACACACAACACACACACACACACACACACACACACACACCCCTCACATGCAATTATGCATACCGTACAACATGAAAAGCCATTTCCAATAAAGATTATTATTGTTCATCTCGTAATATAAAAATATATTTAAATAAAATGAAAAGTTCAACTGAAGAAAACTCATCCATTAGAGAAAAAAAAACCTTCAATCAAAAACTCCAGCTAACTGCCTCAGTTTCCCCAGCTGGTTTATCCTAGATGTTGCGGGCATCCAGTTGAATAATGTTGCCTCTACCGCTGCTGTTTGTTTGGTTGGAAGGCTCACGTGGAACACTGTGAACTCCTCGCTTGGCAACTCCAGCTGGCTGTCTTAGTGGATCTTTGCCAGTCGATTTCTGTCCGCTATTTTGAGCAATCACTTTGACGGTGTTTTTCTATTTATCCATCTCTCGTTATTTGTTCTTTTACTTTGGTTTACTTTGTACTTGACATATCCACTCATCCAAAAACAAAACCATAACTTTTGTAGATCATTCTCCGGACCCTGCGAAACTGTCACTTTTATATTCTGCCTCTTTTTTAAAAGACAAGATTTATTTAGTTTTTGTGTGCATGAGTGCTTCGCCTGTATGTGTGTATGCACCACATGCACACTTAGTGTCAGTGAAGCCAGAAGAGGCCAAGAGCAGCAAGTGCTCTTAACCTCTGAGCTTTCCCTCCAGCCCCTCTGCCTCTTTATTGATACTGTTACGTTTACTTTGGGTTTATTTTTTTAATTTTATGAGCATATACAGTGATCGTCTTACTATTCTCTCAAACTTAAACCATGTTATTGCCCGGGTCAGCATCTGGGGGACTCGCTTCTTTGTCAGCAGCTGCAGGACTGGAGCGGTCCCTGGTTTCTTCCAGCTTTTGCACTGCTTTGGTTCCTATAACTTTCCTGTACCTGCAAAGCCAGTAGCATAGCATCCTGTAGCACAAATAATTAAAAACTCAGAGACAGAAACTGGGGTTTAACCCCAAAACCAGAAAATCAAAGCAGCCAAGCCACTAGAGAAGTCTTACCTCTACCAAGGCTGGGCGACCGCAGACTGAAAAGACTAAGCCTCTCTTCCTACTCTACTAAGAGAGAATTTTATATTCTCTCTAGTGCTGGGATTAAAGGCGTGTGACTCCCTAGTACTGGAATTAAAGGTGTGAGCCGCCAACACCTGGATTTGTTTCTGCCTTGATCTTGCATAGCCCAGGGTAGTCTTGAATTCACAGAGATCCATTTGACTCTTGTCTCCCAAATCCTGGGATTAAAGATGTGTGTCACCACTGCCTTACCTCTAGGCTTTAGCCTTGCCTCGGGTCTTCAGGCAAGATTTATTTATCAAGATACAAATAATAAACCACTACAGCATCCTGCTTCCATTGTTCCCATGGTCTTCTGATTCTATTACCAACATCTACCATTGTCCTTCTAAAAAGCATCCTTGTCCCTGTAGGGGAACCACTTCGATTGATCAAAGTAATCTCCACACCTCAAGCATTTAGCCTTCTCACAACTGTGGGGTTCTTTTTGTCTTATAAGTAACACTCAGGTTGTGGGGAGCTGGGATGTGGACCTCTAAGGATCTTGTCTTCACTTACCACAGTGTCCATGATGTGTCCCCCTGTGTCCCTCCCCCTTCTCTGCAGAAACAAGTACCTACAGCAGGCATGGAATAGGTATTGCGCTATGTGTACGTGACTTCTGACCTTGTGACTGTTGCCAACTTTACGACTCTAACAAATAAGTTTCCCAATATGAAGTCAGATCCTATCCCAATCCGTGATTGTGAAGCAACTGACTTCAGCAGCTATCTCAGTCAAGACTCAAACGCATTTCACTGTGCGCAGCTACCACCTTAAGAGAAGTGGCCTCCAAAGGGGAATATCTATTGAATGAATGTAAGCAAAATACCCACTCGGCAGAAAGAATTAAGAAAAAATATGAGCATATAATGGGAGCTAGAGAGATGGCTCAGAAGTTAAGAACACTTTCTGCCCTGACAGAAGACCTGGGTTCAGCTCCAAGCAACCAAATGGCAGCTCACGGCCATCTGTAACTTCTACTCCAGGAGATGATGCATAGTCTTCTGGCCTCTGTGGGCACTAGGCACATGCTGGACAGATATACATATAGTAAAAGCACTCATACCCCTAAAATAAAGATAAATCTTTTTTTTTTCCAAAAATAATTCACTGTGGTAAAGCTATTGTTTTCACCTCTACAGAAAGTCTGAACACTCTCATTTTGGTTAGTCTTCATTGTCAGCTTGACTGGCTTTAGAATCGCCTAAGGGATTGGTGGCACAAGCTTAGGTCTGTCCCTGAGAGCATGCCCTGAGAGGATTCAGTGAGGGGCGACACCTACCCTGATCATGGACAGCTCTGCTCAGCAGGCTCGGAGGCTCTATCCTCCTGTTACTTGGTGCAGTCTTGTGGATTCCCCCACGCATGTTTGCTATGTTTCCATATAATTTAGATCACATTTAGGCTTCCTGAGGCAGCAAAATGACTCTCCGAGTCAATGACTTATTTTTTTTTAATTCATTTTAAAGCAGTTGAAATAAACCACGTGATAGTCAAGTTACAAAAAGCGACTCAAGTAACGTACAAACGTGGACCAGCAGGTGTTAGGCGGGGGGGAAAAAATGGACATCAAAGGAGTGAGGAAATGGCGGAAGCGCAAGTTACTAAATAAGAAGTGAAAATATCCTCAGGCAAGGGCTGCAGCTTGTGGAGGCTGAGAGCCCAGGCTTGAGCCAGGCTGTGGGGGTGGGGGGTGGGGAGGTTGCGGGGTTGCGTTGCGGGCCTCCCTCTCTTTCTCTGGGTCACCTCCAGCAGGTTACTTCGTCTGCCTTTCTTCGACTGCATACTAGAGGTGATCATAGAAGTCCCTGCCTCCTGGGTTGGCTGAGCGGATTACATGATTGATTTCCTATAAGCCATTTGAACCACGGCTGGCGAATCCTCAAAAACTGTTTCCATTGGTCTGAAAGGGAGTTACCAGTAAATCAGAACCAAGGACAGACATTGGCTGGCACCAAACAGTTTTGAGCAAAGTCAACACACGGAGTAGTGTTATATAAGGCGGATCATGGTTCAGGGCTTCATACATGACTTGTGGGGATTTTTAGAAAAAAAATCACGTTAAGAGGAAAACATATGCATTTAAGTGAAATTATGTGTGTGCGCTTTGATCTCTGGGGCTGACCTGGAAGCCTCTTTACCTAGGAAGCGCAAAACATTTGTCACTGCCCCGCCTCCCTCCAGCTCCCCTACCCCGCCTCCAGGCGTCAGCTCCGCTCACAGCAATCTTAAATTCTTACTGTAGTATCAACTCGTCTCTGAAGTGGGGAGAGGAGAAGGAGCCAGGATAGAGCACCTGTTGGAAGGCGCTCTAGAAAGGGAACTTTCTTCTTGTCAGTATTTGAAGCAAGCTTAGCTTCTGAAGTTTAGCGGGTCTTTCACTTTAAAATAAAAGCAGGAAGTTGAAAGCAGGCACAGAAAGAAAAGTGGGAAGGAATGGGGCTGGAGGGCCGTTCTCCCTATGTGGATGCTGCTGAAAAGCTGTAGAGTAAAACGCATACAATATTACTCTGTTTTCGTTTCTTCCCAAAACATTGAGCTGTTTTCCTTTATAGAAGAAGGGTGCACGCCCTCGGGTGGGCGGGATAGGAGGTGGGACGGTACAGCCCCTCCCCACTGGCCACTGCTGTATTTAGCTGAGACCTTGCCCCTCTCCCGACAGCGAAGCCCAGTGCTTACTGAGCAGCGCTCTGAGCCGGCACTTCCCCGGCACTTCCCCTCGAGGACCCACTAGGTCGGTCCTCAGACTCACGTCTCGTTACATTTATTTGTGTGCCATGGCCCAGGTCTTCCATGTGGCTTGATGTTCTCTCTCTCTCTCTCTCTCTCTCTCTCTCTCTCTCTCTCTCTCTCTCTCTCTCTCTCTTTTCTCATTCTTTCTCTAGGACAAGTGACGCTGACCCAACTTCACCATGACCAAGAAAAGGATCGCCGTAATTGGATCAGGAGCAAGTGGGCTCACCTGCATCAAGTGCTGTCTGGAAGAAGACTTGGAACCTGTCTGCTTTGAAAGGTCTGATGACATCGGAGGACTGTGGAGGTTCCAGGTAACTCTCCTGGGCCCCTACTGCTGAAGGATTCCTTTCAGCTCCTGTGTGACTCGTATAACCCAGTGCACGGAATAAGGAAGACGGTGACTGAATTCTGCCCTGGCAACTGTCACCTCAGATTTTAGACCTGTTCCTTTCTCTAGGCTGGTCGCAAAATGAAACACAAATGTCGGTTATTTTCCGTTGCCTGTTGCCACGAAAGTGGTTTTGTTTGCTTGTGTGTTTCTGAACTTCCCTGCTACTCAAAAACCGGGAAAAAGAAACCTGTGAAGTGGAGGGGCAGCAAATATTAGAAGTTGCCTGCTTTTTCCTAGTCCATGGCAGCAGATGATGAGCCCAGGGTCTGCTTGAGATTCTTTCTGTCTTCCTTTCTATTAAAAAGCTATCCCTGGGATAGGGCTGGAGAGATGAAGCAGCAGGTAAGGGCGCTTGCTCTGAACCCTATGACAGTTTACAAGCTCGGAAGTCCAGCTTCAGGGGACCTGACATCCTTTTCTGACTTCCTCAGACATCAGGTGTGAACGTGGTACACAAACATGCAGGCAGGCAAAGCACTCACAAATGTAAAATAAAAAGAAAGAATTTTTTTTTTTAATCCTGAGGCTGGGAAGATGACTTTTCTAGAAAATACTAAAGGTTTACTACTGGAAGACCTGAGTTCCATTCCAGCACTCACGTGGGAAGGAAGGGAGGAAGGAAGAGGGGAAGAAGGAAGGAAGGAAGGAAGGATGGAAGGAAGGAAGGAATGGAGGGAGGGAGGAAGGAAGGAAAAAGAAAGGAAAATGAGAGAAGATGAAAGAAAAGGAAGACAAGCGGAATGCCCTTGTAATCCCAACCATGGGGGCACAGAGATAGGATTCGTGAGACTTAGGGGCTACCCAATGAGCCAGGCTCCAGGCTCAGTAAAATGCCCAGTCTCAGATACATAAGGCAGGAAGCAATTAAGAAGAAAACCCAACTTTGATCTTTGGCCTTTACATGTACTGTGTGTGGGTGCATCACACACACACACACACACACACACACACACACACACACACACAGAGAGAGAGAGAGAGAGAGAGAGAGAGAGAGAGAGAACACAACACACACAAATCCTTTTCACTTGAAGTAACCCTGACAATCCTAGTCCCTGAACAGAATATAAAATTAAGATTGCTCAGAACAGCCAGGACTATACAGAGAAACCCTGTCTTGAGAATAAAAACAAAAATGAAAAACAAAATCCAAACAAGATTGCCCTGTTTACTTTAAACCTGCCTTCCCTTGAGAAGAGAAGGTCAAATTCCTCGGCCTTTGCTCCCTCCTCTCTCCCTTAGTCCACTGGGTTTCATCTGAATCCTATGCTTTTACCACTGGGCAAGTCGTTAGTATGTGTTGAAAATAGTAGCTGGGCACATTGCTGGATGTCTTTGATCCCAGCACTAGGGAGGCAGAGACAGGCCAATCCCTTTGAGTTGGAGGTCAGCCTGGTCTACACAGCGAGCTCAAGACTAGCCAGGGCTTTGTAGAGAGCCCCTGTCTCAATCAAACAAACAGAACCACTTTCTGCGGGAGTGAGAGCTGTCTTATTAAATGAATATCAGCCACCCTCACTGATTTTCAATCTGGCAAGCGCTGAGCTTGCATCTCGAACTCACTTTCGGACTGGTGTTGAAGTGCCACGAGCGTGTTTTGTTTTTCATCAAGTCCAGAGGTGCCAGCCACCTCCTTAGAAGAAGCTGCAAGGCACCACACAGTTGAACGGAAGTGCAGCCCTGCATCACGGCACTGGGCAGAGAGACGTCCACTCTGTTGGACGTTCGTCCTTATTCATAGGAAGAACAGGTCCCCTTAGGAGACCCCCAGTCCTCTGTCAGCCTCAGACATGAGCTGAAAGGCCCGAGGACACAGTTTTCACTTCAAAGCCTTTGTCTAGCATCTAGATAGAGTGTGACTTTGGGAAAAATCACTCACCTTCTCCGTGTCCTCTCTTCCTGCAAGAAAGAGCCTACATAGTGCTTACTGTATTAAGGTATTGTGGACAGGAAGTTACCGAGTAATTGGTTGCTTCTGACAGTGCTTGGTGCACAGGGCAGCATGCCAGATATTGTTCAGTAGGCCTAGACTTGGACCTGCATACTTAGTACTTCCGCTAAGCTTCAGGGTCGGATTTAATAATTTCCAGGCAAGCATGAAACCAACGCACGAGCAGAGGAAGCTGGGAGAGTATCCAACATCCTACCAGAATGTCAGGTTTGTGATTTAGGTTGCTACAGTGGCTTGAAATCACTATCTTCTAAAGGTCTAATGACATGCATTTTCTGATTGTCCTCTTGGCAGAATTTCACTACCTTATGAGCATCAGTCAGCTATGTTTGGTCATGATGCCCTAGCTTCTGTCAAAACAGGCATGTGTTCAAGGCTCGGCATTACATTCTAGAGTCGCTCAGGGCACCTGGCATGCCTGCATTAGCCTTCCAATATACTTATGTCTAAACCAGTGCCTGCGCCAGGCTTAATGGCCCACAGCCTTCATCCCAGCACTCAGGAGGCAGAGGCAGGCAGATTTCTGAATAAATGAGAATTTAAATTCTAGCTGGGCTATGTAAAATACAGTGGCCCATGCCTTTGATCCAAGCACTCAGGAGGAAGAGGCAGGCAGATCTCTGTGAGTTCAAGGCCAGCCTGGTATATGTAGGAAGATCCAGGATAGTCAGAGATACATCATAAGATCCTGTCTCAAAAACAAAACTAACTAACTAACTAACTAACTAACTAACTAACTAACTAACTAACCGAGTCCCTGAGGAGCATACTGTCCTGGTGTCCACTCAGGATGCTCCAGGAACCGGGAACCCTCATTCTCCCACTTGTCCATCACCCAGTTGTGGAAGCTGAGATATTGGACACTCATGGTTTACTAGACATTTCACATGGCTAGTAATCATTATAGCGATTCCCTGAGAGTTTACTTATTGACATCTGTTCACCACTCCCATGCTTATTACCTGGAGTCTTGTCCTTCTCTCCACACCATTAGCTTTAAGTTAGTTAACAGCTAATTGTGGATGTCCCATGCAGACTTGATCCCAGCACTTCGCGCTCTCCCATTGGCAGCAAGTACCCTGTGAAGAACCCCAGAGTTCCCTTTTCAGTGACGAGTCCTTGGGTTTGGATATTTTCCTTCCTTCCCAGATGCCACTGCCTCCACTTTGCTCTTTCTCTTTGTTTCACGTAAATATCCTTTCAGGTGTGTCTTTTGCTACCTCTGTTCTTTTTCTGCTTAGCTTGCAAAACTAGTATTGCCTCCTTCGTGTTATAGATTACTACTTTCTGATACTAATTTTGTAAGTTTTCTTAAGGCATCGTGGCTCACATCTGTGACCACTTGGGGCCTTGTCTGGTTCCCCTATTGTTAGCGTCTTATCCTAATTTTTCATGATTGGCGGGTCCGTACACATAAGCCCATGCTGCACTTAGAGCGACTTAGTTCTTCCTGCTGCTGGTTTCGTTCGATTGATTTTGTGGTGGTGTTGTTGTTTTGTTTTGTTTGTTCGTTTTGTTTCTATTCCAGGACCCCTATAATATTTGATAGCCACGTCTCTCCAGGCTCCTCTTGGCTTTGATGATTTCTTAGGCTTTCTTACTTCGTTGGTTTTGCTTCCTTGGTTTTGATCTCCTCGCAGATTTGAGGAGGATTGGTCAGGTATCGTGTAGAATCTTCTCCTTCGAATGAGTTTGATACTTTTCTCATAGCTGGCCTGAGGTTGTTTTGTTTGGAAAAGATGATCCTCGAGGTGAAATCCTGTTTTCAGTGTGATCGTTCTTGTTAGGACTTTGCACCGTTTATGTTAACCTTTGTGTCTGAACTTGCAGTGGAGTGTGTCCAGCTTGACTGCCGCTAAGTTCACTCCCATTTCTGCCTTCAGAAGAAAGTTACAATGGCCAGCCACGCTAAGGACTGTTGACTACTTCCAGGAGTCTTCAGAATCCAAAGGCAGGGGAGCAGGCACCTTAACAGTATCAATTCTTCCAATTCACAAAGACAACAGCTTTCCTTTGTTTCAGTCTTTGATTGGTCTTTTTCCCTGATTTGTAGTTTATTCATATTGCCCTATACATCTTTTGTTAGATCTATGCCTAAGTATTTAATAGGGGGGATGGCCTGGTATATGATGTGTTTTTAAAATTAAAAATTCCAGTTGCTCATTTCTTGGATACAGGTAGTCTACTTACTTGTTTGTTTTTGAGGGTCTTTCTCTGTAGTCAGGATTCTTCGACTCATCTTCCACACCTGGTCATGTAACTGACTGTGTACATGTCTAGTGTCCGTGCGTGTGTGTGTGCACATACGCGTGCATGTACAAGTGTGCACACTGGCAGGTTCACATGTATGCAACCTCAAGCTTTGTTCCTCGGGTATGGTCCATCTTTTATGAGAGATGGTCCCTCTCTCCCACTGGCCTTGCTCTTACTAAGAAAGCAAGGCTGCCAGGCAGCAAGCCACAGGGAGCCATCAGCTTCCACCCCTTTGATGTTGCAATTGCAAGCAAGCACCTAGCACCACAGCTGGCATTTTGTTCTTGTGGGTTCCAGGAATTGAACTTAGGTCTCCATGCTTGCAAGATAAGCACTGAAACTGAGCCATCCCCTAGGCTGCAGTGACTTGTAACTGACCTTGTTTGGCATGACCTGCCTGTAATCCAATAGTTGCAGTTTTGTTTTTTTGTTCTTTGGGATTTTTTTTTACATAAATGCCGACATAACTGTAAACAAAGTTAGTTTTTGTTTCCTCTTTCATGACTTATAGGTTTCCAGTGCAGTGCTTGCCTATGGCAAGAAAGGACATCCTTGTTCTTAATCAAATTAACACACTTAGGGACTGGAGAGATGACCCAGCAGTTAGGGGCACTGGCTATTCTTCCAGAGGACTTGGGTTCAATTCCCAGCACCCACATGGTAGCTTATCGCTGTCTGTAACTCTAATTCCAAGCGATCTAATGCCTTCACACCAGTGCACACCAAAGAAAGTTAAATTGTATATTTTTTAAAGCTTGAACCACTTAGTCTCTCACTGTTAAGCACAATATTACCTGCTTGCATGTTTTAAATTGTTTTTATCGACTTGAGGAAGTGTTTTTCTATCCTAGTCTGCTGAGCCTTTTACTTTATCGCAAGTGTTTTACAGATATTTTAATAAAAACAAAAGAAAAAATTCTACCTTTTAAACTATTTTCCTTATTAAAATTATATGCATAAATTATATATAATTAATACATTGTACTCAAAAGGTATGCATTAAACAAGGGAGAGAGTATATAACAAATAATTATATAAAAATTTATATATATTTATATATAATATAAATAATTAGGATGTACATTTAATTTCATGGTCCTTATTACTTTTTCACTTAAAGTTATAGCAGGACACTTTCAATATTCTTACATGTATTTAAAGTTTGTAGAGTTTTGTGTATGTGTGTGTATATGTGTATACATGCATGTTTTACGCACATTTGTGTGCACATCCACATGTTTGTGCATGCATGTAGAAGTCATCCTCCTTTTCATTTGTTTGTTTGTTTGTTTTTGAGACAGTGTTTCTCCCTGGGAATGTTGGTTTGCTGGTTAGGCTAGCTAGCTCCAGAGATCTCCACCTCCTCAGTGCTGGGATTATAAACACACACCAGCACACCCAACTTTTGTTTCGTTTTGAATGTGAATGGGTGGCTTGCCTGAATGGATGTCTTTGCACCGCATCTGTGTGTTCAGAGACCAGAAGAAGACATCAAGTTTTTTGGAACTGGAGTTAGAGATGCTTGTGAGCTTCCACGTGAGTGCTGGGAAGTGAATCTGGATCCTCTGCCAGAGCAGCCAATGCTCTCAAGTGCTGAGCCACCTGCAGCCTCACACCTGGATTTTCAGGTGGTACAATGTTTCCAGACAGTGCTGCAATGTGTGCTGGTAGTTCTCACTTGGGACTTGCATATTGTAATCAGAGGATGGCAGAGACAGACTCTTTACACAGTTAGAACTTCAGTAGGAATGGCTGGAGTTCCTTGGAACTAGCTGAATAATTCTCAGTTTCAGATATTCTCACCGTGGGCCTCTGGGTGCTTCCTAACAGTGCAGTGGTCTCAGGATAGCTGGACTGCTTCTATGGGTTTTGGCTTCCACTAGAGTGAGCTTTTGAAGTGTCTCAACCAGGTACTGCAAGATTGCTTATGATTTGATCTTGGAAGATACTCAATGCTGTGTCAACTGCATGCTGCTGGCTAAAAGAAAGTTATAAAGACAATTCAGTATCAAGAGCAAAGAAATCACTGTAAGGGAGACAGATATTGGGTGATATGGCAGTGTGATGTGTGCGTGTGTGTGTGTGCGTTGGTTAAAATCTGTTTCACTCGGATAACTTAGATAACTTTTTACTGTGCTCTTGGCTGCTTATAAACCATAAGGTTGAGTCTCAAGTTGCCATAAAAACATCTTATTTGCCACAGGAAACCCCTGAAGAAGGAAGGGCCAGCATCTACAAGTCCGTGGTCATCAACACCTCTAAGGAAATGATGTGTTTCAGCGACTACCCCATCCCAGAGCATTACCCCAACTTCATGCACAACTCCCAGGTCCTCGAGTACTTCAGGATGTATGCTAAAGAATTTGACCTTCTGAAATATATACAATTCAAGGTAAGGGATTTTCTTTGCTTCCTGCTCAAAATCATTTGTCAGGCCAGTGAATCGTGAAGTTTCATTTGCCTGTGTATCTGTCAAGACTGGCTTGAAATAGTCATGTATCTATTCTAGCCAAAGACACCTTGAATTATGGTCCTTGCTCTACCATAGATTAACTTGGTAAATGAGTTTCTCATCTTCAATTTCTATAAATTTTCTTGTTTATAAAACAATATGATTATCCCAGATAGTTCCTGGTTCCTTTTTTTCTGGGAAGTTTTCTGTCACATCTCTTTACTCTGTAAATCATAGCCATAAAATAACACATATTTATGACTTCTGGCAAAAGCCCAAACGGTCTCCTCGCTATTCTGCTAAATCGTGCCCAAAGTAACATTCAACAGCAACTTCCAAAGCCAGGAATTTGCAGCCCATAGATGTCCTTTGTTTAAGAGAGACGCAGCTTGAATAAACTTGCCACTGAACCAAGCAGTAAAAAAATGCAGAGACAAAAAACGAGGCAGAGGAAAATTGTATGATCTATAGAATTGCTAAAAATGAAGAGGCCCAACAAAAGTGGCACATGCTGAGGAGAGATGCCCCCGGCTACCCATCAGGACATGATGCACCAGGCTGCAGGGAAATTTGTCACAGCACAGATTCTATCCGGACTGTGTCTCCAGGGATGAAGAGGAATCTTCCAAGAGAAGACTGACCTGTGTAAATGCTCGTGACAGAGAGAACTTTGTGTAGTTCAGGATGGCAGGGTTTGGCAGGATCTCTTTCAGTCTGCTAAGACAGCTTGCCCAAGGCTCCTGATGCACACCATTCTTGTTGTGTTGTGCAGCGTAACCCATATTTGCTTATTGATTTATTTGTTTATTCTACAAAGTTAAAAATTATACCATCAATTACCCCATCTCAGAGCCTCTTTAGAGTCGCTTGTGGAATGAACAGGTGTAGAAGGCAGAGAAAGACTCCATTTCGGACAATGAGGGCCTTCAGGGTTCTGTTCTGTTCCTGGTAGAAAGGGAGATCTGTATCAGAGTCACATGTTCAAGGCCAGCCCCTGCAAACAGGACTGGGATAAACAGACACAGCCGTGGGGAATATCAGGGGATGGAGGAGGAACGGATCGTTTGTGCCTTTATCACTAATGCCTGGGAGAAGCCTCTGGTTTTATTCAGGTACTGCAGAGCGTTAGGGCACAGACCAAGACACCCAGCAATCTGTGTTGTTCTGGGAGCATTCGATTGCTTATCCAGTTTTGTAGCCTGCCCCATTAACATTCGAGTGTGTGGATCAAATATCCCTACGGAGACCCTATGAGGGATGGTGCCTGTGACAGCCCCTTTTGTACCGCTCTGCAGGGAGTTGTGTCAGGGAAGACATATACTCCATAGGTGGTGGTTACAATTCCCTGTCCCTTTTTAGACCACAGTGTGCAGTGTGAAGAAGCAACCTGATTTCTCCACTTCGGGCCAATGGGTGGTGACCACTGAATGTGGAGGGAAAAAGCAGGTGGATGTCTTCGATGGAGTCCTGGTTTGCACAGGCCACCACACAGACGCTCACCTACCCTTGGAAAGCTTTCCTGGTGAGTCACCTACCAGGAGGGAAGACGCTGCGGCCATGACTGTTATCTGACCCCAGAGGAGTGGGAGGGGTGTGGTCTGTGTGATTCTTAAAATAAGGTCTTGCCCTAATTAAATACATCCCCCTGAGGATGTCAGGGTCATGTGTATTGCTGCCATTTTGGAAGTGGACCCGGTGACAGTTTGAAAGACTAGAGGAAAGGGCTAGAGGTATGTGTATCATCATGAGCCACAAATGTCATTTTTTGTCAATGACCTATGCCATAGTAGTCCCATAATATTGTAACAGAGTTGCAGAGTTCTGTGGTTTTGTAAGGACTTAGCCACTGTGACCTGAAGCCTGAAGTGCTGTTGGTAGGGTGCGGTGTAGATCAACCTACTCTACTGTCAAGTTGTTTAAAATTATAGCATGTAGACCTGTTAAATGCATAACACTAGACAATGAGTAACTTACTTGTTCTGCACTTAGTGCACTGTACTTGGTGTAATTCTTCTTGTATTTAAAAAGTGTGTTACAGAGTCATAGGCCATATTATGGCAACCATGGCCTCCCAAACTCAGGCTTATTGTGTCCCTTCTATTGATGTGCGCCGTCTAGGTGTGTATAGTGTCTGTACAGTGATGAAATCTATTTTCAACATGTTCCTAGAATGATTATGTTCCTGCCAAGCAGCACATGACTGTATTAAACTCATGGTGACTGTGTTTTCCTCAGGACCTAAAGAAAATCTAGAGTTCTTGATTAGTACTAGCTGGAATTAGAGATTTTTCATCAACTGAAGAAGAACAAAACAGAAATATTGAATTTCTAAAAATGAAGTGAAAGCTTAAAGCATTTCATCTCATGTTTCTGGTCTGGACTTTTACCTTCAAAAATATATTCTACATATGCCCTATACACATATAAAAATGTGTGAGTAAGGGCTGGAGAGATGGTTCAGTGGTTAAGAGAACTGACTGTTCTTCCAGAGGTCCTGAGTTCAATTCCAAGCAACCATATGGTAGCTCATAACCCTCCATAATGAGATCTGATGCCCTCTTCTGGAATGCAGGCATACATGCAGACAGAACACTTCATACATAATAAATAAATAAATCTTAAAAAAAAGAATTAAAAATTTTTTTTTAAAAAAATGTAGCAACGAAAAGAGAGAGGATAGTGCAGGTTTTCTGAGCCTGTCTGGATTTGTGTCTGCAAATTCAAAATGCAAATTATTTATGATGGGGGAATCCAAAAGGCAATGGGAGAAGAAAAGGAACAAACATTTAGAAAGGCGAGAGAGCTGCTCAATAAAAGGAGAATGTGGGAAATCTAAGTTTAAGCTTTAAACACCACAAAAGAAGCAAACGTGGGATTTGGCAAATAATGTCTTCATACAAACCATCCCCTGATAATTATTTTCCCTTCTCTTGTAGGAATTGAAAAGTTCAAAGGAAAGTACCTTCACAGCCGAGACTATAAGAACCCAGGAGAATTCACTGGGAAGAGAGTCATTGTAATTGGCATTGGGAATTCTGGGGGGGACCTGGCTGTCGAGATCAGTCACACAGCCAAGCAGGTATGCATCAATAATTGGTTTTTGCTTCACTCTTACCAAGGAAGAAGACCCAGGAACGAACATAGAGGCCTACACATGGCCCACCCAGGCCAGCAGCAAACACATGTGGATTGTTCGCTGCCCAAGTTGCTGCTTTAGGGTTGATGCTGAATATATAAAACCTAGAAATCAAAATTTTCAAATGAACCTAGGAATTTCATTGTATCAAGGAAGTTTGACATAATGCTCTTTAAAGACTTTTTATTATACTGTGTGTGTGTGCACGCGCACACACACACACGTGTGCATCTATCTGTCTGTCTGTCTCTTTCTCACTCTCTGTGTGTGCATCTATGTAATAAGGAGAGCGCTAGTTAGTTCCCAGCTGCTTAGCCCCAAAATAATCTCATAGATACTGTGTTAATTAAATCACTGCTTGGCCCATTAGCTCTAGCTTCTTATTGGCTAACTCTTACATCTGAATTTAACCCACTTCTAGCAATCTGTGAATCGCCACAGTTGGAGCTTAACTTTTACAGTTATTTGCTTTGTGTGGGGTAAGGGGAGTACAAAAGCATGGAGCTGCTTTTGAAGAGCTGTGAGCTATACTGATCAAACACTGTATGGTGTTTCCCATATCCCAGGTCTTCCTCAGTACCAGGAGAGGAGCTTGGATCCTGAACCGCGTGGGGAAACAGGGATATCCGATCGATATGGAAATCTCTTCTCGACTTACCTACTATTTGTCAAAGATCTTTGGTTCATCAATAAAAAATGGATATTTGGAAAGACGGTTGAACCAAAGGTTTAATCATGAAATGTTTGGCCTGAAGCCCAAACACGGGTATGTTTACAGGATGGGAGAGGGGCTGGAGATGGCTGAGATCTTGTGCCCTCTTCTGTCATGTAGGCTTACCGGCAGGCAAAACAGTGTGTACATAAAAAACAAATAAATCTTATTTTAAAAAGCTTGTCCATTCTGAAAATGGTGTGGAAAGCTAATGAGAAGGCAGTGCACAGAGAACTGAACCATTGGAGGTGAGAGAAGGAAAAAACTGTCCAGCTGAGGAATAGGCAGATATGGGATTAATAGTTTTGTGGTTTGCATAAATGTGTAGACGGCTGGTTTAGAGATAAAGGATAGTGTCTAGTTAGGATATCTATTGCTGTGAAGAGACACCACGACCATGGCAATACTTATAAAGAAAAAACATTTAATTGGGGTGACTTACATTTTCCGAGGCTTAGTACATTATCATAGTGCAACATGGCAGAGAGCAGGCAGACATGGTGCTGGAGAAGGAGCTGAGAGCCCTACATCTTGAGCTGAAGACAACAGGAAGGGAACTGAGACACTGGGAATAGCATGAACATAGGAGACCTTAAAGCCCGCCCCCACAGTGGCACACTTCCTCCAACAAGGCCATACCTCCTAATAATGCCACTCCCTGTGAGCTTCTGGGGGCTAATTCCAGTCAAACTACATCAGATAGGGACGAGTTTGGAAAGGAGAATAAAATCATGAGGTTGGAATGTAGAAAAGAATCCACATAAAGGTTAAAATCCATGCAAGTTAACTGTAACAAAACTGGTCTTTTTAAAAGGACTCAAGAAGCTGGAAGCAGGGATCTGGCACCCCACCCCATGCTGTCCCCAGGGGACACTGCTTACCCCATCAGAAGTGTAGAAAGCTATTTTGACAAACATTCTAAGATCCTAGGCTGTGTAATCTTGGGAAGTCACTCAACTCTCCAGGCCTGTTTCCTCATCTCTAAGTCTTGGGTAATGGCACCTGCTATACTTTCTTTATAAAGTCTGAGAATCAAGGAATTTAATGCCCAGAAAAGCTTTCTCTACATAGACTATATGTTGCTACACATATGTAATTTGTTTGTGGCTCGGAAAATTATGATTTAAGTCTATCTCTTGAGCCTTTGGAACTGGAACTGAACATAATATTCATGACCTATTCCTGCCATTTCTTGAGAGCTGCCTGAAACGTTGTCAGGAGCCTTACCATGCTGCAGAACATAGACCTGTGTCAGCGTCTTTGGCCAGATAGAAGGGGTAAACCCTGGCATGTTTTACCGCCGGAGCAGGCTCATACTCACGTGCTGATTCCTTTCTCGCCTTCTTCTTTACTCTCACCTCGGCTCTTTGTCTGTCTTACCACTCACAGACCTCTGAGTCAGCATCCAACCATCAATGACGAACTGCCAAACCGCATCATCTCTGGCTTGGTGAAGGTGAAAGGGAACGTGAAGGAATTCACGGAGACAGCTGCCATATTTGAGGATGGCTCCCGGGAGGATGACATCGATGTAGTCGTCTTTGCCACAGGCTACAGTTTTGCCTTCCCCTTTCTTGAGGATTCTGTCAAAGTTGTCAAAAACAAGGTGTCCTTGTATAAAAAGGTCTTCCCGCCTAACCTGGAAAAGCCAACTCTTGCCATCATCGGATTGATTCAGCCCTTGGGAGCCATTATGCCTATTTCAGAGATCCAAGGACGCTGGGCCACTCAGGTGTTCAAAGGTGAGTGATGATATACATGGACAGCTAGGGGAAATGTTTCAGCTATATTTATGCAAGTGCTTTTAAACCTATAGGGCAGCAGTGCCTGGAGCAGAGCTAGTGCCAGAAGATTTATTTTTAATGAATCTAAAGTAGTAGTGTGTAACCATAGACATACACCAAAAAAAAAAAATACATCAGTAGTTTTTCTTAATTAGGCATGCATTTTAATCCCATTGCCGGAAGTGCTCAATTCAGAGGTGGGTTTGGCTTAAGAGCATTGAGAAAAAGGTTCTCCAGGTAACTCCCGTATACACTGTGGACTAGACTCTACTCATCTAGATTGTAAGCAGCTGCTATGTATTTGTGGCTTTAAATGATTCTTTCATTAGAAGTAAAGTCTAATATAGACTATCATGACTTAATTTCAGCCATAAATTCAGAGATACTTAGATTCCTAGAATACAGAGATACAGAGATACCTAGAATGTGGAATATTTAATTTCCCAAATCCCCAATTGCCCTCCTCTTATACCCCTCTCTCAGCTTCAGCTGTGTGTAAAAACCCTTTAGAGTTTAGGATATAGACTCAGTATGAGTCAGCAGTGTGACGAACCTTCTTGAAGACCCCTTAAATTCAGCATCATTCCAGAGTCAGAATGTCTGAGAATAATATAATTGTCCCTTTCTAAGCTGATTAGGACACAAACCTGAAGACAAACTTGTGGGGAAAACATGTAAGAATGCAATGAGCAGGGGAAGAGATAACAATGAGTTAAGTTGGGAGTGGGGGGGCTGGTACTGGAGAGATGGCTCATCAATTAAAGGCATCTGTTGTTCTTGCAGATGACCCTAGTTCATTGATCAACATGGTGGTTCACAACCATCCATAACTCCATTTTCAGGGGATCTGATGCCGATCTCCAGGGGCACTGGGCATGCATAGGGTGCACAGACAGACAGACAATCATACACATAGAATAAAATGACTTAAGGGATTTGAAAACAACCTACCTGAATACTAATGAAGGAACTAGAGAAGTTTAGGTTACAGAAGTCAAAACCTGAGACAGAGTGAAAGTTTTTCCTTTAAATCGTCAAATGGATGGTCTCTTGAAGAATGAGATTTACTCAGTATTGCTTTGAAAGATCAAACCAGAGCCATGGATTCAGAGTTTGAAGGCTGTATAGTATCAGTTTAACAATAACAACTGGAAAAGCATTTTTTTCTATCAAGCAGTACCATTTCAACATGAAACAGATGGTCTCTAAAGTAGTGAGAAAACAGAAAAAGGAGCCAGTGGCTGGGTGGCCATTTGGCTATATGTTGGGTGGAGGGATGCTCTGATAGGACACAGGGCGAAAAAAACCGCTAAAGTTCTTTATATGGTTATAACAGTACAATTTATTACCATCACTGTTTAGTTTAAAATATTCAGAATTTTTGTTGGAATTACAGCTTTTTCTCCCTACTGAAAAATTCTCATGGCAGATGGTTAATCAAAAATTTTCCAATTTCTATCATTTCTTAATTTCTTCCAGTTCTATACAGTGGGTCATATGCTGTTAGAGAACACTGGACCAGCAAAAATTAAATAGGATTTTTACAATTATGTTTAAACATGGGAATGCTCTAAACATAGAGGTGATGAATCAAGAAAGCCCTGCATCAGACTATTCTCTACATCTTTGTCTTTCGTATCTATGGGATTTTTAAAATCAAACTGGTTGTCTCTCAGTCAAGAAATAAACCTCTCCCTCCGTAATGTGTTTAGTTACTAAAAGTAAAACTTTTGGCTTCATCATGAAAAGCAACTTGGAAATCAACTCTGCATGCTCTTGAGCATCCCAAGGTCCTGTGATGGAAGCATGAAGCATTACAGTGTGTCCTCGTGGATCTGTAAGGGATAATTCCCGTGACTCAAATGAGGCGACACATGGAAGACATGGAAGGTTCTGTCTGAATACTCAGTATCTGTGTCCCGTGTTTAGAGAAGACTACGGGGGAGTTACTGGGTGTGCTCAGAAAAGGGAAGTCCCGCAGATGGCACAGCATGTGAAATCTGCTATGCAGGGACTTGGGATTAGTCTGATAGCCAAGTGATTTAAAGGGGTTCTTGTTTCTTTTTCAAGACGTCTCTAGTGCTAAAACTCAACCCTCACTCCAGAAGCAGAGTCAGACCCAGTGCTTCCAGTTGCATAGAAATAGATTTGAGGATTAATACAAAGAACGTTCCAGCAATGGAGCAGCCAAACAATTATGCCATGTCCTCGGAATATACAAGGTCCATGACCAGGGACATTCAAGGAGACATGAGGTAGTTGCTTGATACTAGTATTATAGAGAAGAAAATTGCAGTAGGCAAAATCAATTTCTATCCTGAAACTTTATGTTTCAGAATTTTATGGAGCAGTGCCTACTGCCCATTTACCTGTGAAAAAGGTTGGCTGATCTGCAGTTATTTTGGCTTAAATACTAATTGGACTTCATCTAGTTGGTCTCATTGGTGTCAAATTCCTACCCTTGGAACAGTTTGCACGTCAGAGCTTAAACTTACGTGTGAAGTTTGAAGATTATGAGTTGCCTGTGGCCTTACCCTCAACTCTTATCAAAGAGGTGGTGAGGGTTACCTTCCATGGGACTTTAGCATAAAATAGCATGCTGAGTTCTTTACTTCCGTCTTCCTCTGAAACATAAAACCTCTTTGTTATCAAGATACCATTGCAGAACTGCAACCCACTTCCCGTGAACTTCAATGGTGTGTCTCATTCCTTCTAGGCTTTTAAGACATTTACTATTTCCTCATATCTATATTTTATCTCCCTACTGAAAGACCACATTAAGGGATGGGTTGGAAGTCAGAAAAAATTAAATAACTTCCAAGGAAATACAGAGTTGTGGGGCCCAGTCCCAGTGGATATAGCTACAAAAGAACTGCCCTATTGAAGGCTCAGGGAACATTTGGGAAGTGGGTTGAATAAATTGTAATAGCCAGAGGCTCAGGGCATTTTCTGTGATACTGTGTCTCCTGGTAATGTCATAAGCTGTGCCCATAAAGTCTCACCAACATGATTGACTAGACATGAACTGAACAAGTAAAACAAGAGACATGCCTAAGTGGGTGGGGGAAAGACCACAAGACCTCAGCCCTACACAAAGAGCTATAGGCAACTAAGAAATGCTGAGAGCAGGAGATACACTCTTCCCCAGGAAGGAGCACACCAATTGGTTGTGCAATATCAAATGGTCAACCGTGAAAACGTATACATACAAGTAACAATATACAGACTGAACAGGTTATATTTAGGAATATATGCATATACATATGTGCATGTAATAATGCATGAAAAAGAGGCCATACATTGTGAAAGAGGTGTATGAGAGGGGTATATGAGAGGGTTTGAAGGTGGGGGGGAAATGTAATTGTATTATAATCTCAAAAATAAAAGAAATAATTAAAAAGTATTTTGCAAGGCCAGGGCATAATAGATTAAGTGATACATAAATATCAAAGAATGAAAGGGTTCTTATGAAAGAGGTTCCGAAATGCTGAGGACCAGAGTGTTCCAGGTTTCAGATTTATGTAATGGGTTATCTCTGGACTGAGACCGAAATCTAAACATGGGATTAATTAACTTTTTCCTATATACCTTTGAATACAACCGTTTTATAAGACTTAATACAGCTGTGCCTGCCTTTTATGTGACCTGATACACGACATAACTTATTCATTGTGGATTTTTTTTTTTTACGTATGGCATCTTCTTCAATATTCAAAAGAAGTTTGGATTTGGGAACATTTCCAATTTCTGATTTTCAGGTTTAGGATGCTCAACTTTTACCATGGTATTTTGGTGGTGGTAGGACTGAATACATTTTATAATGTCTTCTTAGACCCTGTAATTCTTTTAATTATCCACAGTGTGGTATTGGTATTAGCATTATTCCTCATTTGGAAGTAATTAACACTTCTATTTTTATTTTTTTTTCTTTAGGGCTAAAGCAGTTGCCCTCACAAAGGGAAATGCTAGAAGACATAAATAAGAGTCGAGAGGAAATGGAAAAAAGGTAAGACATTCTCCCAGGCAGACATTTGAATACTTTCTGTATTTCCCCAGTAAGAAGACTATTGAGCTATTCTTAGTCTTCATGTGTTGGCATAAGGATTTCTATTATATGTGGTAATTATCACAGGTAATTATCAGAGGGAATGATAGCACCTGCGGTTTCCATGTGGACCAGGAAGGAGAGAGACTCTGATGGGACATGTTTAAAGCCTATGTTTAGGGCATAAAAGACGTTCAGTAGGGAAAAACATAGCATCAGGTATAATACTGTTGAGGATGTTTCTCCCTCTTTAACGGCTTTCTCCAAGATGCTTTGTTTTCTCCTTTTCACAGCAGAAGTCCAGGGGTGGAGTTGCTGAGTCCAGGGCTCTCATCCTTTGCTCCTCCCCAAGCCCCTGCACTATAACTCAGGGAACCCCTGAAGCTGCTCTCTTGGAGGCCTTCCACAGCTTACTCTGGCTCCGCTCTATCCTCTCACTACTGAGAGGACTACTACTCCTTCTTGGAGTGTTTTCTCTCCCTTTTGTGGGGCACAAAACTAGTTAATTTCAACTTCCCTGCACTCATTCCTTCAGCTTCCTAATCTCTATAAAGACCTTCTGACTGTGTGCAGTCCCCAGGGATGTCATTTAACTTATACTGAGGATCAGCTTTGTGCTAATGTTAGCATTTCATGTCCCTTGTGACAACCCTGCAAGGAGGCACTGGTGATTTCCTTCTCATGAACCTTTGTGAATGCTACAGCTCTTACCTCCAGCTATGCCGTAAGTGAATACATGCTAACAAAGTCAGAGCCACTGGAACACCCAGGAAGCCGAGCTGGCAAGGTCTTCCCTGTCTCTTCTCTTCCAAAATCCAGTCTCATCTCAGCACTTCCTCTGCCATCTCTCCCCAGCTCTACGCACATTTTCTTCATATCATTTATTTCTGTCCTCCATTTTGAATCCCTCCATCTTTGCTAGCTTGGCTCGGCTTTCTCGTTCCCTCTCTGTCTTACTAGTCCTCTACAGTCATCACAGAGCAAAAGACTGGTTTTCCATCCGCTCTCCAGATCCGCTTTGTCCATATAGTTGTCACTGTTTAGTATATTCCCCTGCTAAGAACTCTTTTAACTCTTAACATCTGCTCTTGGTAAACCATCCCACCAATCTCCAGAGGACCAGTTACTCTTGGAGGAAGCCATCCTCTCTCAGCTTCCCGAGATTTCTACATCGACATTGGTGCAGAGAAGCCTTATTCTGTGCGCCCCACTAACTGAGGATCTCATGCTCAAGGAATTATGTGGCTTTCATGTCACATAACATTGCATCCTCTGGCTCTGCCAGGCTTGCCTTTCCCACTGCTACAAGCAATACCCAGATATTGTATGCTGTAGGAGGAGGCCACTTGTTCATCCCGGTCGCCCAGAACCAAAATAACCACACAGAAACTATATTATTTAAAATGCTACTTGGCCTATTAGCTCTAACTTCTTATTGCCTAATTTGTACATCTTAGTTTAACCCATGTCTAGTAAATCGCCACATGGCTGTGGCTTACCGGCAAGATTCCAACCGGTGTCTGTCTCTGGCAGGGCTACATGGCTTCTCTCTGACTCCGCCCTTCTTTTTCCCAGCATTCAGTTTAGTTTTCCCCACCTAGCTCTATTCCCCTATAGCTCTACTATTAGGCCCAAAGCAACTTCTTTATTAACCAATGGTAATCACAGAATACAGAGGGAAATCCCACATCAATATGACTGTATTTTGTGCCTATTCCCTCCCCACACTTTCACTCTGTTGTTTACCTCACTTACAATTCTTCCTTTGTTCTCTCTTTGGCTTTATTCTTTTTTTTTTTTTTTTTTTTTTTACATCTCGAAAATTTGGCTTTATTCTTAAAGTGTTTGTCAGCCCTAGCTCTCTTAACTACCTGCATGCCTATTTTGCATCCAGCCTGAAGCCTTATACACTTCTGATCTTCTTGAGCATAGTGTCTATGTGTTAAAGAGTTTAGTCTCGTTTTCCACCTGCACAGCAGCTACACCTGAATCTACTGCTGCTTTAGCCAATAACTATAGCATTTCTGCAGTTATTGGCTGGATTCTCAGGCAGCTGGGACTTTTCTGTCCTGCTAGATCTGTCTCCTGCCGCTGCCACCAAATGTAGTTTTTAATTAAATCCCTATCGTTCTATTTAGCGATAAAGGTGTGTCGCCTGCACCATCTGGAACTGTGCTCCGGCAAGGGTCTGGGGGAGTAAAGAACATACAGAAACACGGGTCACTCTTGAAGCAAGAATGCCAATTTTATTACGTTCCCAGACAGCTTATACAGTGCTCTCCTTGACTAATTTTCTACTGCAAGCCCACCAGAAACCACTTCCTTGTTTTCAAGAACTTGAGAGGGTTCTGTGCTCAGAGTAGCTGCAAGCATAGAAAAATAAGTTGTTTATTCCAGGAGGCAAGAGGTCATAGAAAGTTCAGGGTCTGAGGGGCTGCAGCTCCCAGCAAAGGGCTCAGGAGTCAGAGACCAGGGTGAAAACCTGCTAGCTCATAGAGGTTGAGAAGCAGCTAACTCATCTTCCCTCTTCATTTGTGTCTCAGAAAGACAGTATCTCTTCCATTACTTCAAACCACAAAGGACAATCACACTCAAAGTCCCTCCCTCCAACTTTTTTGTGCATCTCTATGCATTTTCTGGACTCCCTCTAACTATGATTACTTTCTGTCAACTAGCTACTAGCTCTGTCTCCTGACCAAGGTTGATTTTTTTTTAATTAACACAAACACATATTTGGGGTTGATGGTGTGATCCGTTATTCCTGCAACAGTCTAGTGCATTCTAAGGTCTTTAAGGAAGGTAACACAAGGCCAGCCTATTTCCACAGCTCTGAGCAGAATATGAAGCCCACAAATAGGCACTCACAAAGCCCAGATTGGCTGGTTAGTTGACTGCCTCTTTGCCAGAACTGCTGATAGCCTGGGTGTCTGTCTTCTTTGCTTTAGGTATGTGGACAGCCAGCGTCACACCATCCAGGGAGACTACATAGACACCATGGAAGAGATTGCAGAGTTGGTGGGTGTGAAGCCCAATCTTCTGTCTCTGGCCTTCACTGACCCCAGGCTGGCACTGCAGTTACTACTGGGGCCCTGCACTCCAGTCCAGTATCGCCTACAGGGCCCTGGCAAATGGGCCGGAGCTCGACAAACTATCCTTACGACCGAAGATCGTATAAGAAAGCCTCTGATGACGAGAAGGGTTGAAAAGGGCGATTCTGGGGCTTCACTAATGACAGTACGTGTCTTCATGCTGGCCGTTGCTTTCTTTGCTCTATTCCTGGCTTATTTTTAGATGTGGTCATGTTAGTCTTCCAGCTTTCTCTGGAAGCCTCATCTAGCAACACCTTTCAGAACCCGACAAGACTGAAGACTCAGCTTCCTTCTGCTTAGAAATCACTCTCAACCTCTCTCTCTCTCTCTCTCTCTCTCTCTCTCTCTCTCTCTCTCCACCTATCTATCTATCTCTATCTATCTATCTATCTATCTATCTATCTATCTATCTATCTATCTATCTATATATATATATATCTACCTTGGTTTTCCTTCTGCAATGCTGGGGTTTCATTTATCAATTCATCTTCCTTCCTCTCTTGAGCCTCCACTTTTTCCTTCTGGAAATTCCCAGGCAGTGAAGTCAGGTCCTCTTTCATCATCTTTCAAATGTCATTAGCAGAATTCTTCTAAAACTTGACTACTGTATGTCTAATCTTGTATAACTAGACTTCAGTTTGTAATAATACATCTTGAAAAGGGCTGCTCTTATTATCAAGCACAGACTGATTACAACTTGACATTGTAATCAAAGCCAACATGTCTATCTCAGGAATTTCTGAAGAAGGCAGTTCAGCAAGAATTAATCATTTAGTGGTGAGGGCTGGAAGTCCAAGATCAAGGATGCAGACTGCTAGAAACTCCTAACTTCATGATTAATACGGTGAGGGCATTAATGGTAATGGCAAAACAGAAAATATGTCCTTAGCTAAGTTCTGATGTGTAGCACATGCTTAATAAATATTCATTGATATATATGAACTAAGCTGGCATCCCCAAGTCAATCTAATAAATGACTGCCTCCATGGGACTCTTCTTCTGTTACAATTCACTACCTATCAGATGGTTAATTTTTGTTCTTAACATTATAACTGAATAGGCCCATCTTTAAGATGGGTACTGGGAATTTGAACTCGGGTCCTCTTGCTTTCATGAACAAGTCCTGTCACAGAGCCATCTCCCTATCCCCTACTTCTGCTCGCTTTAATAAAGAAACCACTAGACCAAGCATAGTGCCACATACCTGGAATTCCAGAACTTAGGCGTTCCAGGCAAAGGCTCATCACAAGTTCAAGACCAGCCTAGTCTACATAGTGAGTTTCAGGCCAACTAGGTTTACCTTGTGAGAACTTGCCTCAAATGACCACAACAACAACAACAAAAAAGTAAAACAAGAAAAGAAAAAAATAATAAAAAAAAAAAAAATAAAAAAATTTAAAAAAAAAGAAAAGAAATTGCTCCTTGGTTTTAAAAGTCATTGAGAGAATTTGGTATTTTCCAATAGGTTGGTTGAAGAATTTGGGGGGTTTTGCTTAGCTGTCTTGGCTTGATGTGCAGGTACCTGTATTAGGGTCCAGTAAGACTTTATTTAACTGAGGAAGTAAGTACGGCCAGCTGCAGAGGTGGGGTCTGCCAGTATGATTAGTATCCCCCTCCACCCTCTCTTCCCTTCAGAGTCGACACAGTAAGACTCAATGAGGTCATTTACGGAAGTTAGAATTAATTTTTACTGACATTAGTCTTAACTAGGGCATTCTGTCTAGACCAGTTCTTGTGTGCTACAGCATCATTCAGAAAAACAGGAAATGAACTGTGTAGCAAGCTTTCTTGTCAGGCTACCTTTGGACCACCAGTCCGCAAATAAGGACTCAGAGACTTATTACTAATTAGGAAAACTTAGCCTTAGCTCAGGCTTTTCCCCAACATAATTAACCCATTTTTTTAAAAAAAAAATTCTTTGTTCTGCTACATGGCTCAGTTACCCCTTTTTGGTACAGCACACCCGATTCTCTCTGAGTCTGTTAGTAAAATCAAGCACCTCGATTCCTCCTCTCAGTTCCTCTCTCTCTGCCCGGAAGTCCAGCCTCTACCTCCTGCCTAGCTATTGGTTGATTACCTTTTTTTTAAAAAAAAATTACACCAATCACACCAATCACAGCATCTTCACACAGTGTGCAAATATCCCACGATAGAACTGAATGGCAGAAGTTAAGAAGCATCAGCTATCATGATCACTGAACTTCCTGAGCATAGGTCCTGGTCATGCAGGCAGGGGATCTTCAGAAACAACTGCTGGGTAGTGTCTCTAAATGGGCTGCTGTCAATCATTGAAGGAGGGGCTAAGTTTGGCCAGCATTAGAATAACACAAATTTACAGAAGCAGATATGTAAGAATTCAAACTCTTTCCTAATCTGACATGTATTTGGACAACTGCCTAACATTTTACACAATGTACATTCTGTGAACTTCAGCACTGAGCCCCGGTATTGTTCCTGGCGTCTTTTTCCTTCCCCAATCCTTTTGAAATTGTTTCTCATTATTAAAATGGATCTGGATTTTCTTTTAATATGAAGATTGCTTTTGTTCAAAAATACATTGAAGCCCCGCCTCTGAGCTTTTCTTCTTTTCAGTGTAAAATTCCTCTCGTTTAGCTTGTAAAGAAAGACACTGAAATACTGCGCCTCCGGGAATGCCGTCTCTCCTTATCCGCAGTAATACCACAGGCTTCTTCCAAATCATGGAATTTTTGACTCTATCATTCCACTTAGAATGTTTAAAACTACAAAATATCATTGATTTAAACCAAGCTGAAAGCAAGACCAGAACAGGACAGTGATCTACAAAGTGTAGTTCCTGAAGAACATGTAATGATTCATCCATGGACACCTTTTGCTCTTCTGGCCATATTAAAAGATTGCACTACCTTCCCAACTATGATAAGTCTGATTACTTATCAGGAAGTAAAAAGTGTATTCTTGTAGCACCATGTGGTTTCAAACAGGGTTGGCATACAACTTGTTTCCTCAGGCAAGTGGGTCTTCACAAGTCTAGATCTTAGCACAGAAAGCATGGCATCTCCCTCGATTCTCACGAGACCCAGATCCTGTTGCTATTTCTTTTTGCTTTCTCCTGCTTGCCAGCTCTGGTGAAGCACTCACTACCCCTTCTGGTTGTAACTATGTATAGACCCGTTTATTCCCCTTCATTCAGTGAAGACTTTAGTGGCCAGCGCACTGCTTCTGTCTAGAGACACAGTTGCTCCTGAAGGTGATTTTAAAATCTGTGTAATCAGTACTTCGCCAATACAATGTACTAACTAGGATTAGGTCCAGCTACATTTAATAGAAAAGCAGTAGACAACAGTGGCCTAACATGACAGACATTTATTTTCCTCTCACAAAAATGAAAACGTCTGGAGGTAGACATCTTTTATGAGATGATTTGCTAGTTGCATAGTTTTTGCCATCCCACTGTGTCTAGCTGACTCGTGGTCCACAGTGGTTGCTGGTGCGCTAGCCATTCTATGGAATCCCATACACAAGGATAGAGAAATGGAGAAAGACTTAACAGTTCTACGTAACATTTCCACCCATCTACACACTGGGGAGGCTAAGAAATACATCTCTGGGTGAAATACTGGAGATGGACAGTATCCCAAGTTTGAAGCCAAAGCTTTTTTAAGGAGGAGAGAGATGGATGTTAAGGTAGACCCCCCGCCCCAGCACTCTCTGCCACCTCACTCTTCAGTTCTATGACGTATTTTGACATTTTTTATTTTATCTGTATATGAGTGTCGTGCCTGCATGTTTGGATGTGTATCAGAAGATGTCAGATCCCTCGGACACCATCATGTTGGTGCAGGGAACCAAACTTGGGTCCTCTTAATCACCAAGCCATCTCTCCAGGCCTCCCTATGACTTTCTTACTCAGATGGCTTACTGGTCTACCTCGCCTCACCAATCTACACCCTTGATCTTGTCGAGGATACTGCCAGTGCTAATGACTGCAGGGTCCATGAAACCTCAGTGGCAGGCGTCCTACTCTCCCAAGCCACTTCTCATCTTCTCAGCTCACTAGGCTACGCCTGTGCCCTTTGTTCGTCGACTCCATGTGCCCTCCAACAGCCCGCTTTGCCTTCACTCTTTAGTCTACTGGTTTTAAATCGCTAGTCCAGCGGTATACTCCCAGCCTACCATGCTCTCTCAACTCCTCTGTTGCCTCCTGGGCTAAACTCCATCATGAACTGAATGCGTGCAATTCCCACATTCACAGTAAGAGAAAACACCACTGTGATAAGTTGGGCACCACATATAAGCAAGCCTTCTGCAGTACCTGCCAGTCACACTTCAGGCGTCTTGCCAATTCTCCGTCCCACTCTTTATTTCACTACCTCCTGGGACAATTAAAAAGAGGTTGCTCGGCAGAGTTGTAAACGGAATTATGAAACCATCAGAATGTGGCTCCGCTCTCTACCGCGGCCAAGTAGTTGGCTGTGATCTTGTTAAAGGGCCCATTCTAATTCTGTACCTAGGGCATAAGACCTCGGATTCGGCCTTTCTAATAGAGTTGTGTCTCCGAAAGCGTCTAGACAGCTAGAGGCTAGAGCCTGAGACACCGGAGCCTCGCCCACACCGCGACCCTGACCCCACCTTCCGCCCCGCCCCAAGATGATGGTGCGCACGCATCCACCACAGAGGCGGCCTTGGCGCCGGTGGCTAGAGCGGCAGGCGACTAGGGCAGGAGAGGGGGCGGGGCTGGCACGCAGGGGGCGGGACAAGAGGCCCGGTGGGCGGGGCCAGGAACAGAGGCGGGTCCGCGCCGCGGGCCTTGTAGCCATTTTAGGAGGAAACCCGGGTCGCCGGCTTGGGGCGCGGCTTCAATTTCAACAACTTTATTGGTCTCTCTGTACGCCGAACAGCCGGCGTGCGTGTGGCCCCGGGATCCCGGAGCGCATCGCTAGAGGTGAGCGGCGCGAGGGTGTGCGGGGCCGGTGCTGCAGGGCGGAGGGGGCTCCCGGAGCGGGTTCCCCAGCTGAGGCGTCCCCGAAGTGGGCAAGGGCGGGGACCCCGGGCGCGGCCTCCTGCGGCGGGG